AGTGGCATTTTTGCAAATGAACACCCCTAAGTGGCATTTTTGCAAATATGCACATAAAAAGTGGTATTTTTACAATTTCTCCTTATTCTTTCCTATTTTTTTTGCCTTTAGACCTACTATTATTTTTGGGAACTTGATATTCTTTGTGCGCTATGATCAGTTGTAGCTATACGAATATGTTTTCACTTAAAAGGTTTTTTTCGTCATCCTAAAACTGTTTTTTTTTTTTCCATTTTTGTTTAATTAAATATAACTGTGACATTGGAGTCATACATGTTACTAGAGCTAGCTAGCGAAGACTATTTTACAATTTATGTGGTAAATATACATACATAAAATCATATTTCCATCCAAATGAATTCAATTTCATAACCACGATACGTACAATTAGCATTTACCAATAATAATTGGTTGAGGTAAAAGGTGCATTAACTTTAATATGCACATTTGAAATAATCTACTCTTTAATGATTACAAAAAGTTATAATTGGACTTTGTAACTCTCAAGGGTTTGTAGTATCGCCATCGTACTACATCTATATTCAAATTTGATAGTGTGTATATTGTAGCGGAAATATATATAACATGAGAGATGCTTGGATTTAGCGCACCGAAACTTAAAAACACTTCACTTGAAATCTTTTAAGTTGTTGATAAACACTTAATAGGATTTGCATATAACTAATAAGACAATTCATTTGTTTGTTGACCAATAATCTTGCACGAATTCTAGAGTACACGAAATCTTCACACTGACTTCGCATTCAAAACAAAAGTACTCTCAAACCACCGAAATAGCGGTTTTTCTCTTTCTGATTTTTTTTTCTATAAGTTCAGCAACCCTATTAGACCATCTTTGAGTTACATTGAATTGCATAGAAAATACCACTATATAAGACTTGAGTTCACCGTCTGATAAAAACAGTAAGCAAGCAAGAACTACTATATAAATTTATATTCTTTTTTGCTTGATCTCCATGAATATATCCTGTTATATAATCGAAAAATAAATAAGATATCTATTATAAACGATGTGAACCTTTTTTGTTATAACGCAACCAATATGTGAATTTCCTTAACCTTTTTTTCAGATTCATTTGTTTTTCTATTAATAGATCGATCGAGTTGCTTATGAATTTATATGCCACTTGATCTAATGATGGGCTAATCACATGCTTTACAATGCTCATGATTGCAAGCCTTGCAATCTCTCGGATCCAAAAGATTATTTTTATTGCTTTCAATCATGAATTATTCGATATTTTATTATTTACATGGTTTCACGAGGACTAAAAAGGAAGCTATTTATATAGTAGATTATAGAAACTTTGCTATAGAAAACTATTTGTTCGTGTTCTCTTATTCATTTTTGTGGCGTTTTCATATGAATAGTGCAATGCTTTTATGATTAGTCGCATGAACTTGAACATGTTCATTATCTAACAAAGAAAGTAAACAACAGATACATCGTATGATACTATATTGTGTATTATTATATCAACGTTTATACGTATGATCAATATATTGTTGACAATATTACAGTACAGAAGAGTTTTTGAGTTCTTGAAAAAGTTAGAAAACATGACAAAAAATGAGTTCTTAAAAAAAGAATTTTTTTTTATATAAAAAAATACACTATATTTCAATATTTCATTTATAGACTACGAAAAACCATCTTTAAAAGAAAATCAATCTAAAAGCCACTAAACATGCATAGAAAAAATAAGAAAATCTTGTAATCTAGCAGCTTTCGCAAGGCAATCT